TTCCATTGTTACAACCTCGTTCGACAATGTAAGACATTCCGTTTTCGCTATCTCTAGAATTCTAATCCAATTTCACAATATAATATCGCTATATTTTTCAAAGAAAGCCAATGAAATTTTGTCGTCAATTTTCCGATCCTACAAACTGATCGAATATAGCGTTAATCTAAGATTTTTTATTTTATTTTTTTATATGATTAAATACCGAACGAGTAAAGGCCATTACTTGCTAGCGATCGATATTAATTATTTATAAATGTGAATGATTATTCACGAATACGATTTTGGAAATCAATTTTAATTGTAAAGGGGAATGAATAGAAAGAATTGTCAGCCTCAATTTACCTCTTTAAGCCCGATTCGTGCTGTACAGTGGAATGTAAGTAAAAGAGAAAAAAAAGTAAAGAAAAAAAGAAGATAAAAGTCAGGTTTTGTCAGCGTTGACGAAAACGTTCCACCGACCCTCTCCCAATTAACGCGAATGTCCGAAAAAGTACGCGAGTGAAAAAAGGCGAATATAAGAAGCCAGATGCGTCGAATTTGCCGAATAAGGAAGCGAAATGTCGGCTCCCGCGCTCTGACGCAACCCCCCGTGCTCAGCCTCCCGAGTGTCCGTCCGAAACGGCCAACAGTTCGTATAGTTTTTTTTTTTTTTTTTCATTCTTGCGCACTTGCGACACACGAATTCACGAATTTTTGAAAATTAGATTCCAGGGACGTTTGCAATATCCCCTCTAGCAGTGATTTGGACAAACCATTGACGCTTTATTACCATTGTGCTTCTCGTTCCTGGCCATGGGATTATTGTATGCTTGCCGAGAGTTTTCGGAAAGCCGTCGATCCGATGTTTTCATAAGTAAATTCCGCGATGATTTCGCGAGGAGTACGGCGGATTCATAATAGAGATCGCGATGCGCCTTGTCATTTTAATGACATACGATAACAACTTTGCCATCGTTCCCTTGCACAAGCAGAGCACTAGACGACGTCGTAACAATATTACGGCATTAAGGACTAAGGAATTAAGGAGCGACGTTATATTCCGAAAATGTTTATGCGCTCGTATGGATATGCGAGAATGCCTTGCCCCCGTAAAAACGACTGTAATTTTTAAATGATATATATTTGAAAAGGGCACTCTGCATATAGCAACGCTCGAGAGAACGAGATACCACTTAGATGAAAAGCCAGAAGAAGAAAAAAAAAATCATTGGCAACGATCGCGAAAAGTATTCTAAGATAATATTTAACGCGAGCGCACGTCATCTTACACATACGCGCATTAATGTATGAAAGATATGTAAAAAAAAAAAAAAAAAAAAAGAAGTAAATAGAATGAAATACTTGGCAAGTATTTCATATTTCTTACCTGCAATTTGTCCATAATTTCTGCTATGTTGCTGCTAGTTATTTGATTTATGACTTTGCGCCAACGACGTGGATAATCGATAGTTGACTATTTCCTTTGATATTCCATTGAGAAACTAAACTAAAGAATATATTGCCTGTCTCGTCGATTCTTACAGTCAGCCCTTTTGCTCGCCAATAACAGACTAACATTAGAATTAATTTGAAACTTGATCTCGTTCGATCCTTACCGAGCACTCGTTCCTTCTCACGATTTATAAGAATTACACGACATTTCAATCGACGTGCTTTCAAAAGCAATTACTTCTCTCTCCCCCTTTATTTTTCGTTTTATCTTTCCTTTCTCGTTCTTTATAGCCGACAAAGAGACAAAATCTTCCCGAGGATCCCATTGATTTTTTCTTCTTCGTAGCGTCTTCTACATAAATCTTTTCCGAGCCTGATGATCGATTTTACGTTAAACGGAGCATGATTAAGGTCCGGGGATTAATTGTACAAAGATACTTGTTGTATCGCGATATAATTAAATAATACGAAGACATAATTTGTTAAAATCATATAAGAAACGCGAGCGTCTATGTGAGCTGCGTCGACAATAAGCTCATTACGTCCGCAAACAAAATCTGCTTATCCCGCAAAATAAATGCACAATAAAAAGTCAAATAAACATCACAACGACCAAATAATCAATGATTTTTTTCTCTCTCCTTGTATTTTAAAATTGATCCCTGTCGATCATTTCAAGGTTAGCATAGGAAACGAGGCGTCAGTGTAACGTTAATATCTGCATTGATTTATCACTGCAAGTTCCCTAAGGTCGAAGAGCTCGAATAAGATTTTGTCTTTAAGTCCTCTCCTAGTTCTTTGAAATTTACACGTGCTCAGGTTTTACCTGGAGACACGAGCACATATCTTCTCATCTCCGGGGAAATAGAGCCTCGTAAATTGTCGTCCCGCTGAATACAGCAACATCTCTGTACCGTAAATATACACTCGTAAAGCCCTTCGTCTCCTCCCCGCCCACATTACGTTTGTTTTAGAGTATTTTAGTTTACGTTTCAAGAAACTCGCTCAACAGTTGTTAAGCTCTGCTACGAACTAAAGTTTGCATATAAATTTTCTATTCTTAAGCGTTTTCCTCGAGACACACGTGCCATTATTACTTACGTAACAAAATTACCGTAGAAATTTATAATTACATCCACATTATTTTTTTCTTTTTTCTTTTTTCTTTTTTCTTTTTTCTTTTTTTTCTTCTTTTTTTCTTTTAATTATTTACTTTAATTATTGCGACGATTTTTGAAATTATGTATTAATTAGTGCTTTTCTGGTAAATTCTTATAAAAGCGAATCAACTTAAGATTGCCTTAGTCTTACAATCTCTCGAGTAAATTCAACGAAAGATTTTATGCATTTCTTTAATGCTTATTATATGTAATACTTTTAACTTTACTGCGGATAAGGTATTTTTATATATACATATTTAAATGCACAAAATAATTACGCGTGCGCTTTCATGCGGTTTAATAATTTTAAAGATTTTATTATTCAGCGTATTGTATAATATTAGGCATGAAATATGCACAGCCAATTTATTAAAACAATTTATAAAAATGTGCGGAAAGCATTACATTTAATTCAAATAAGTTACATTACATTCAAATCAATATTTGTCGTTGAATAAATAATATCGGTAAAATTATAAATGCTCTGCTTATTAAAAAAAAATTTCTAATCGTTAAAATGCTTGAAAAGAAAGAAGGCAAACGACTTTTTAACAATTGAATATAGTGAAAATATCGTAAGGCGCAAATATTTTTTTATTATAAATCGATCCCGAACTCTTCGTTGTCACTCAACGATTGAGTTCTATAAAAATTTAAATACTATAAGACAATCCATTATTTTTAGCATATATTTCTATATAGACGTTTAAATTAATTAATTATTCTATGAAATTATCGACATTTCTCAAATGCTTCAAACATATCATTTGTCACATATAAAATTTGTCCAATGATTTGATAATTAACTTGGCGAATAAATACAACAATTGCATTGAAAGTTAATACTATTATTAATCTCAGAAAATGACTAAATCGACTATATTGCCAATGCTTTTAATATAAGAGATCTTATCGCGTGTTAAAAATTGCTTATTAATAAAACGCAGAGAACCTGCGCATCGTTGGGCTATTGTTCGGTGAATATGTGAAGGAGTCGATATCGTCGGACGAATATGAATAATAGGAATTTCGAGTCGATCGAATTGAAAGGATCCTTTGGGAATGATTAACGATCCGTGCGCTGTTACTACGAACGGAACAACGACAACGCACGCGAGAGCATAAATGCAAATCGAAAACTGTACTAAAAGAGGAGCGCGAGCGACGGAAGAAGGAGCAAAGATAAGGAGGGATCCGGGACAGGGGCGAGAGTGAGGGTGAGGGTGAGGGTGATGGTGACGGTTAGAGTGGGCCGGGGGAGGGGGATGGCGAGGGGGAGGTGGGGGGGGCGGGG